CCCGGACAAAGATGTAACTGGATGAAGTTAACTTGAATCAGGCAGGGAGAAGAGAAAACTGCTTCTTATTCCTTCAAATGACACTTTGGGATGCAAAGAACTCTTGGCGAATCTGATGAAAGGCTGTTAAAACCCCTCCCCACCCAAAAACCCTACATACCCACAAACTGTGCAGAAACCTCAGGGATTCATAGATCCCCACACACATGGATCCTTGGGGCTCATGAGCTACAGGCTGAGAAGTTAGGTGTCTAAGAGCTCAATCAAAGCTCTCCCCAAACCCCTTTGTCCCTCTAAGTCCACTGCAAAGCCGGTGGGGTCAGGCCCACCCACCCCTGCAGACAGACTTCCTCACAGCCCCTCCTGCCCCTGCTGGAGGCCTCACTTCCATCATTGCCGAGCCTCAAGCCTCACACGGCCAGGCTCTCCCCATGTGCCCACACCACAGGATTTCATCTTTCCCCATCCCCGCACGACCTCATGGGGACAGGAGTGAGGGTGGGGTAAGCAGTTACCAGCCCTTGTGGCAAATGAGGAAACTGAGATAGAAGCAGCAGCTGTCTTCAGGGCTGACCCCCTGGAGTCAAGCTGAGTGCTCTGAGTGACTCAGAGTTAGGAACCCCTGGGGTTGCTTATGCCCCCACATCCAGCAACCACACTGGTCCTCACAATGTCCCTGAAGCACCTTGTGTGTCAGGCCCACTCTGAGCTTTGCCATGCTCCACCTACTGCCCTCTCCACAACACCCCCCCCCCATTCAGGGCTAACCTCGAACCCTGCCTTCTCAGTGACAGTGGACCTCAGCTGGCAATTTCCCTTTTAGAGGCAGTGGGAGTAGGAATCAGCAAACAGAGGAGGGGGGACGGGGCTCTGCCCAGCACTGCCCTGTGAGCAAGGCAAGGCTCCAGCCTTGGTTTTCTTACTAAGAAAACCAGCTCTCAGAGTGATTGACTTGCATAGACCTCTCCAGGTCTAAAATCTAGTGATGCCCATTTCGGTGTATCACCTCAAATTTTCACTGTAATTGTAGTAAGGGCCCCTCATTTTCAGTACATATCATATACCGGAAGCTAGCTTAACATTTTATTGGGTCGTCGGGAAAGTCATGACGCATTTTTGCGTTGAAAAACATAGAAAGATACGTCATGACTTTCCCGACGATCCAATAGCTACATCATCACATTGTACCTCACAACAACCCAAGGAGGCAGTATTGTGATATTATCCCCATTTACAAGGAAACTGAGGTTCAGAGAAGTGCAGTAGCATCCCCATGGTCACACAGCCACAAGACTAACCCCAAAGCCTGTGTCCCTGACCACTAAGCCCTGCTGCTCTGTGCTATGCTCTCCTCGGATGCTAGAGACCCCACTGGAATCCTTGCTGATACAGGGAGGGAAACGAGATTGGGAAATATTGTCCTCATTTTATAAATAAATTTTATAAACTGTCAGAGGTGAAGTGGCTTGCCCGAGGTCACAATGGCAGGGGCAGGAATAATAATCTAGAGGCTTCAGGGCTTCTGCTTCTGCTGCTCACTGCCCCAGCCGTCGAACGCAACGAACAGACATGGCTCCATGTTGCTAGCATAACAATTGCTTTGCCCTTCCACTTCTAAAGGTCTTTCTCCTCTTCTCTGATGAGCTATAGCTTGAGTGATCATTCTAAACAAGGAGTGAGTTAATTTTTAGTCCTGGCATACAAGAGCAGGGCAATGGACGAGAAGAAACAAACTCCTCCAACAAGGAAAATTCACTCAGAACACACAACACAGAAAACACTACCATTGTCACATAGCTGGCCACATGTCTTCATTAGATGGTTACAACCTTAGCAGCTATTTTGCTATGATTTACGCAAAGAGATCAAGAAAAGAATGGTATGTCATTTGACCTTTTCGTGCCTCAAAAGGGCAATTCTTAACTAGAAAGAAATTATATTTTAACTCCCATTCGTGGGAAACACAAGTTCTCGGGAACACAGACTTTGCCAAATGTCACACTTTGAGGAGAGGGAAGCTCTGCAAGTGACGCTGCTAATGTGCCCAGACGCCTCCCACCTGTGCAGGAGGGCTCAGCCTGCAGGCTGTTTCGAGCCAGCTCCCAGCAAATTGCCACTTGCTGCCAGCACTCAGTGGTGGTATATGACCTGGGGATAACCGGGGTGGCCAGGCAATGCCGGGACAGCACCATCCTGGCATGTCTTCTGCAACTCAGGCCAGGAATGGCGGGGTCTCCCCACCAGAGATCACGAAAGGTGGCTTCTTCATGCTCTTCTGGACGAAGAGCAGTGTCATCCTGGGTACATTCCAAAGGACAAGGGGTGGGTCACCACAAAGGAATACTATTTCAAAGACATAACCCCCACTCTGGGATGAGTTGGGGGGCACACCTGTCAAAAGTGCAGCTACCCTCCAGCTTGTGGGGTACCTTCCCCTATTTGTAGTTGCCCACATAGTGAGTCCTACCTTCTCACCATAATTCATTTCCCATCATCCCATGCTGCTAGGGTGCAGAAATGTGGTTAAGGCTACACCTATCAGATGGACCCATGGCCAGGTGATGATTCAGAAGGGAACACAGGAAGTACTAAGCCCAGGATCTACTCTGGTGACCTTGCGGCAGGGTCCCTGGCTTTTTAGGAACAGCAGGGGAGGAACTTCCAGCAGCCAGATGCTGGTATTGACAATGAGAACTACCGTGTCAGAGCCAGAACATGGCAGCAAATGTGTCTTCCCTGGAGCCACCCTGCAGTGCGGTTGGGTGCTATTTCAACGAGAGCCAGTGTTTTTGCCTGGGACTGAAGATGTCCTTGCCTGAACCAATCTTATGTCACCGAAGGTGCAAATGTAGATCCTGAGTAGGACCTAAAGCACCTTGCCCAGATGCTCCTGGGATGGTGAAGGAATAAAGGCATACCTGGGAGATAATTGTGGGTTTGGTTCCATACCACCACAATGAAGAGATTCTCGCAATAAAGTGAGTTGTAATCTTTTTGCTGGTGGAGGGCCTTGCCTTCAATTTGTAAAAAAGGAAACATCCATGAATCTCAATAAAGCGAAGTGCAATAAAATGAGGTCTGTCTTACAGACATGGGAACTCGTCACACCTCTGTGCAAACCTGGCTCCACCACCCACTGGTTCTGCTGCCCTATGCATGTAATTTAATGTCTGACCCTCAGTTGTTTCAAATGAGAAATGGAGACAATAACATCCAACCACATGACTGGTAAGGGAATGAACTATTAAACAAATATACCTTGAATAAGGTGCCTAGTATAGTGGTTGGCATAGCAGGTACTCCATAAAGGTTATTTTCTTCCCAACTCTTAACTCTTGATACTGTTGTCTAATATATTAACAATTTTTTTCTAAGCTGCTATCTCCAAATCATTCAAATTTTGATAAGAAAAAAGTCAAACAGGACATGGTCTTTAAGCATGACACCACTGGAGACATTTTTCAAGTTGACAATGATCTATTCATAACACTCCTGAGGTCTGTTGGATCAATGAGCTATGAAGTCATCCAATTACACTGACATCCAGCCAGTGTAATTCTGACATCTCATATAAAGGGATATCATTGTCAAACTTGGTAAAAACTATAGCAATGGAATTTCCCCAAGTCTATCAGTCTAATAATATTAATTTTCAAAATGATGATGAGTAGAATCTGATGTAACTTAATAAGGATACCCCTCACAGGTGTGCAGCTATGGCAGTTTCCAAGTCTTTTCCCACATGCTGTTGGTATAGCCCTTGGAATCATTCGGGAGACAGGAAGGGCATCCTCAGAGAACCTTGCTGGTTCCTACCAAGGGCCCTGGTTTTCGTGGTGCTCATGGTCATGACATTCAGGAATCCATTCTGGAATCCTGCCATTCACCTGGCCACCAACATTCACTAAGTGCCTATAATGTGTTGAGAAAATGCTAGGCACGCGATATTCAGACAGACACATTTCTGACCTGAGTTTTAGCAGCAGAGAAGAATTAAGGGGGAAAGAACCATAAATTGTGATGGGTAATAAAGCAGGGGAAACCCACGAAGTCATCAGTACACAGCGGAGTCAGGTAGGAAACAAATATTAACAAGGTTCCCATTTTTCCTCATTTTTTGAGCCATTCCTGAAAAATCAGCACTCTCAGGTATTATTCATCTGACTGTAATATAGTTTTAACTCAAGCACGGTATCATCAAAACAACTTTTGGGGAGGTCCCTGACCCCCAGATGAAAATAGCTGAACATTATTTGGAAAGCAAGAGGGAGCCCTTGAGGTTTTCTAAGGAGGAAGGTGCGGAAATCAGAGATACACTTGGTTCTAGATGGATAAGGGATAGAAAAGGAGGCAGGGGGCCTCATCAAAAGGTTATTTCAGTAATCTAATAAATACAGGAATGGCTGATTGTAAGGGTATATTCCTACAGAAATTTGACTTTCTGTACACATCTTTGATGTTTTTATGTGTATTGCTTTATTCAGACTCAGCAATCAGAAGTATTAAGCTATTCTAGATGTAGGTTAAAAGTAACTTGATGTTATTAACATAATTAATCATTATTTTCTCCACTGTAATGGGTTCAAAAGATGACCCAGTATAAAATAATCTATGAGGGCATCTGCCAAGAAAACTAAATATCCAGTAAGTTATCACTAAAAACAATGTTTGAAACAGCTGTCAATCCACTAAAATCTGGAAAATATTAATTATATTTGGTTTAAAAATGGAAACTTAGAATGTCAATACCATATGCTTAATTAAGTTATTCCAGAAATTTTCCTACCCCTGAGTATCCTTGTCAAGAAGAGTTACTCAAAATGCAAAAGGGTTTGCAGTTGCTACTGGTGAGTCATTTGCATCTCCCTCCTTTTTGTGTGTGACTGTGAGTGAAGAGAAGGTCAAAGCTATGGTGATTTCTCTGAAATATTTCGGGCCTCAATATACCCCCATTTCTTGGAAGGTCAAGACCAGTCAGCAGGGACACTGGTCGCTCTTACCCAGCGTCATCCTGGAAGCCTTCTAACTCGTCCCGCTGCTCTGCCAGGGTGGCTTCCAAGTCCAGGTAGGTGCCGTTGTGGGAGAGCTGCAGCGTGCAGTCGTCGAGCTGCAAGAGAAAAAGCCTGTTAAGCCCAGCCTATTCCTGGAATGGGGGCTATGTATGCAGAAATCATGTGTTTTTCTTAAATCAAGCATTATTCCCAAATTCAGATCATAACTGGAAGAGGCAGTGTGTAGTGCAAACAGACTGGGAGCAAACTGCATATTGAGGGGACAGATAGGACACCTATTAAGGGAGTGGCATTGACAAGCCCCAACGGATGTGGATGGGGAAGGAGAAAGAGCCTTTTGGGCACTGGGCCAGTGCCATTTTCCACTCTGAGGGGCCCAGAAGAAGCTATGGATTTGGGGAGTGGAAGCCAAGATTACAATACTGAGGTAACCATAGATTAAGAGTCATAGAGTTTAATTGGCAAACTTGGTCGCGAACACATGCTGTTTCCTTTGATTCAGTGAGAAGCCTACTTACTCCGATTCAGTAGTCATACTTGGACATTATTAATTAATGGTTGCTTAATAAACATTTTTACAATTGAACCGAAGGAGACATTCTTCATTTGAATGGCAGCCTATCCAAATTACAACATTCCACAGAGCAAGCATATTAGGTCTCCTTGTTACTAGTCTCATTTTCAAGAAATTTATTTAACAAATACTTATATGTTATTAATTATGTTCCATGCATAATTCTAAGAATTTTACATATGTTACTTCCTTTGACTGTCACATGAACCCTATTAAGTTCTACTGTTACCCTCACTTTGAAGATGAAGAAACTGAGGCACAGAGAGAGACTAAGTTATTTGCCCAATGTACTACCTGGTAAATGATGGAGTTGGGATTTGGATATCAGCAGTTTGACTTGAGATCATGCTCTCTAGGGCCTGAGACCTACAAAGGACTTGAACATATCAACCTTGCAATATGCGCCTGATGTCATCTGAGTGTTTTGGTGTGGCTAAGACAATGCCACATGTTTGCCCACCCTCTTCCCTTTTCCTCCTGGATGCACAGACCACACATCCCAGCCTTATAGTTGGGCTTTGGCTGGGTAACTGAGTACCAACCAATGGAATGTGGATGAAAGTGAACAAGGCCCCCAACAGGCCTGGCCATAACACCCCTGCCAAACCATCCACCTTTCTTCTCTCCTGCGGCCACATGTAGAGGAGCCAGAGGAGGGCTCCAAAGTTTAGAAACCAGCAGAGCCCTAGATGGAAGAGGTCGGGTTCCTGAATCACTGCATGGAAGAGAGCACTTTGCTACCCAGCCTCCACTGACCCATCCTGGACGGTGACAAGAGCAAGACATTAGCCTCTGTGGTGGTGAGTCATGAAGACATTGAGGTTGTTATAGCAACCAGCATCACCTGACATCTAGAATGCTCAATACACTTAAAAATACAGAAAAATAATTTTACCAAAGATTAAAATTAACATGACGAGGAAATCCAAATATATAACTTCTTGCTGAATTTCTCAGGCTATAGGGTGGCTCTTATTATTCATCTACTTCGTGAGTTAAGTCTCTTATTCCAAAACAACAGGAGATTGGGGAAAAGTGGAGGCAAATATGCAGCTACTTTAAAACATCTAGATAAACGCCTGATAATCCTCCCGCAGTAAATGAGATTTCAAACAAGGAATTAGTGTCTTCTGATAGAAAGGCTTTGCTTATTATCCTCAATAAGAGGAAGGGAGGCTGTCATCTTGTCTAGAATCAGCATCTATAAGAGGCTGCTGATTCTTGTAGAGACCCCACAGTTCCTGTTTCTGGTTATCCTCAACAGAATGAAAGGAATTTGTTCTTTATTATTTGTAAGAAACACCTAGTTAAATCATTTGAATGGGGTTAATCCTATTTGATCCACTTGTTTTATTTCTCTAACAACAAACTGTTCCTCCAAAGGCATGCTGGTGAGGCTCAGCATTCTTGACTGGCATTTACAGATGGATCATCTGATCTCAGACAGCATTTAAACCCAGGAATCAAATTGGCCAAACTTACAGTACTGTGTTGTCCGAAGTGCACCCAGGGTTTGGGGGCAACACACAGGGGAGCTGCCTCCCCGAGCCTGCGGAATCCGCAGGCGGGAAGGATTTCCTGCAGAAGGCATCTCCTGGGCCAAGGGTTTCCTGAGGACTGAAATCAGATGCTATCACTCCCAGGTGGAAAATTCCATTAGAAACTGGACCTGTTAACATGTACACTGGACCATGTGCAGAGCTGGGATCACTGCAGCTCATGCTAGCTTTTCACTCCTACAGACATTATTCACTATTATACTATAGCTTACTTGGTCTGTTCTGGTGATAGTATCAGCACATTTGCTTATGTTTAATCCTGCATATAATCAACAAACTAGATGATGGGAATAATGAAAGCCCTTTAAGCCACAACAATTTCTTGTGACTCAGCCCTTAGAAACATGTGAGCCCAGAGAAAGAAGCTTTTGGATACAGAATTTCTGTTTCTCTTCTTCTCCTGGAGAGGATCTGAGTCATTCTGAGACTGTGATCCACACTCAGGCCTGACAAGGGAACCAAGAAGGAGAAAACGTGCTGCTCTGGCATGGAGAGAGGCAGAATGTGCACATTTTTGTGGTATAAATATTCCCACCATGGCCGATTTCAAGCTAACAATGTGAAGTCACTGAGCGTGGAGTGGCAAAAAAATATGCAGCAACTCATTAGCATATAGCGCTTTTACCATACAGATACAAGACATGTAAAAAAACCCTCAAAGCATAATATCAGTAATGTGTAATAAAACAATTAGAAAGTGACATGTTTTGAGTTATTGTGTTTTTTTAATTAAAATATAGTTGATGCACACTATTATATTAGTTTCAGGTGTACAACATAGTAATTCAACATTTATGTACTGTATAATGTGATCACCACGGTAAGTCTAGTAACCATCTGCCACCATACAAGGTTATTACAATAGTACTGACTACATTCCCTGTGCTATACATTACATCCCAGTGACTTATTTATTTTATAACTGGAAGTTTATACCTTATTATCTTTGTTTTTAATATAGCGTTCATTGTACATGTATATCATTTAATCTTTAATAATGGCTACCTTGAACAAATGGTTCACGAAACCCCCAAGAATTTATCCATCAGCTGTCTCAAACCTCCCAGGCCAGCTCCAGTGCACACTGCGTCTGGCCCTCCAGGCCATTAATTTGCAGCGCCAAAAGTGAAGATAGCAAGAAGTGCAGACCCTGTCGTGGGTTTTCAGCCCTCAACACCCCACGTAGCCCTACGCTCCTTTCCTTAGTTAAGCCAGAGGTGGGGGTGACTGGTGGCCAGCAGATATAGCCCTGTCCTTCCTGACAACTGTGACTATTTTTCACGTCAGCTCTACCACATACCTTCCCATTGTATTCTCAGCAGCCTGAGGTGAATATCTGGTTTTGCTCAACACTCACCCCAGCCCACCAAGTGTCTGTCTGAACATGCTCCCGGCCAGCCCCAAACCACAACAGGAAGCCCCTCTGCACCCCACCCCCCACCCCCCAGCCTCTGACAACAGAATCCCAAAAGCTTAGCAGAACTGCCTATTCTCATCATTCCTCTCTTCATATGCAGGGCATCATTAACTATTACCATTTCCATAGTTCAATTTTAACCAAATTATATGTCAGGCACGGGCTGGGCACCAAGGAACACATAAACACTTCCTTCCCTCAAAGATCATTTTATTGAGTAAGTATGACACACAAATAGAACACAGAAGAGACTAAAAAGCCATTTAGGCCAACTGTCAAAATGTGTGGAAATTCATTCTCAGTTGTACTCCTTCTCTATAATTAGCAGCCACAGCCTCCTGAGACCCAAGCAGCCTCCATAAAACTTCCCCAGTCGCCCCGCCAGGAGAAAGACTGCCGTTACTTCCCAAGCCAGTGTCCCAACCCTGCTACGCCTGCTTAATGGTTGGGACACTTGTGCTAGCAAGTCCTTCAACTAAAACAGAAAAGATGAGTATGTGCTTTTTAATCCCTTAAGAAGTATGTGTGGCATCCTCACAGTAGGGCTGCAGGAAAAGGTTAGACACCGCCAGCCTCAGTGGCACATGTGCACAGAGGGGGTCCTAGCAACACGGGCTGCCTGGTGAACACACTGCCCGCTCCATTCCACAACACAAGCCTCACCTCATCACTCCATCCGAGACGCACGAGATTAATCTTTAAACTGTCACAGGAGCCAAAGAGTAAGAATAAAGGGCTTCTTTACTGGATGGACACATTAAAATCATAAAGCCTCCTCAATATTTTGGGGGGCTCAACTATAGGTATCATTTTTTATAAACCAATTGATAGGTTCCTCAATCTCGTCAGGAATACTTAAGTCACAGTTAGGAAAGAATACAACTGTGTGAGATAGGTGGTGTGTGGAGGTTCATTCCAATCTGGTTATTATAAAGATTCAGACAGAAATAGGCAGACTTTGCCTACATGGGATGGACTCAAGACACCTCCCTGCCAGACCAGTTCCTGATGAGAACCTCAATCCCTACTTACACGGAGGCAACCTGATCCCCTCCCCTTGGCCTCTCATGTCAACTGTCTTCCCGAATGACTTAAGGGCCCTGGAATTTCCTGACTCCAACAATTTTCATGCCAACCCTGGTCCCCTGGCAGCGTGTCCCCTGTACTGCTTTCTTGGCTGTAGATTCAGTGGCCCGGACACAGCCGGGCACTTCAGGACATAAGACAAAGCCAGAGCCACTGGGAAGATAACGTTACAGGGCTATTATAAAAGTACGGCGTTAGGGAGGTTTAGGGGCAGTGACAGTGGCAGTGCAGGAAGACTTCGGATCAGGTTGCAGGCTAGAAATCCGTGGTCAGGATTCTGGTGGGGGTCAGGGTGCTCAGGACAGAATCAGTCAGAGATCCACAAGAAGGACCCTTCCAAATATCCTGGAATTTTATGCCACTCCTCCCAGGTCAAAGCAAACCATGAAAATGGGCCCTCAATCTCTGGAGACATAGAAAGAACCCTCCACTCCCTGCAGACAGGTTGCACAAGGTCAC